GTTTAGGAAAATCACAACGTTTACCTTTCATGGAAGCTAGTCATAATTCTATTTTTCCTTTGGAAATTATTCATTCTGATGTGTGGCAGTCACCTGTGTATTCAAATTTGGGATTCAAGTATTATGTATGTTTCATTGATGATTTTTCTCGTTATACTTGGATATATCCCATGTGTCACAAAAATGAAGTTTTCATGCACTTTAAAAATTTTAAAGCTTTGGTTGAAAATCTTTTTAATCAGAAAATTAAAATTTTTCAAAGTGATGGGGGGGGTGAATTTGTTAATAATAATATGCAGCAATTTTTTTCTGCTAATGGCATTTATTTTAGAAAATCTTGTCCTGACACACCTCAACAGAATGGGGTTGCTGAGCGCAAGCATCGTCATTTACTTGAGTTAACTAGGACCATGCTTCTTGAAGCTTCGGTTCCGAGTCACTATTGGGTCGATGCCATATTTACTGCTGCATATATTATTAATAGATTACCCTCTCCTACCTCAAATGGTCTTACTCCGTATCAAAAACTTTTTAACCGAATTCCAGATTACTCCTTTATGCGAGTATTTGGTTCTGCCTGTTATCCAAATTTTAATGCCACCTCAGCCAATAAATTATCACCTCGTTCAGTTCAGTGTGTTTTCCTTGGCTATGCATCCGGTTATAAAGGCTATCGTTGTTTGGATCCTTTCACAGGTCGAGTCTATGTTAGCCGTCATGTTAGGTTTCATGAGGACACATATCCTTTTAAAACTCTCTCGTCTGCTCCATCCAAGTCTATTTCTACTACACCATCTTCTATGCATCTCACCGATATCACTCTTGACCCACCTCTCCAGCCTGTTCCCACAATTACGGCCGCACCAGCACCACCCCCATCATCGCCACCTCGGACACCAAGTATTCCTATCACTCCGTGTGTACCATCGCCCCATTCCTCCTATCCCACGTCCACAACCAGCCCCCCACCATCACATCTCTCCTCCCATACTTCGTCTAGCACGCCACAGACAACATCAACCGACACTGTCTCACCTGAAACCACCTCACCTACGTCCACTACGGTAGTTAATCACCATCCCATGCAAACCCGTGCTAAGTCAGGAATTTTTAAGCCTAAAACCATTTTTAATTTAAGTACAGTTACTATCAATGCAGATCCTACCTGTTTTACTGAGGCAAATAAACAATTAAAATGGCGTGAGGCGATGGCTGATGAATTTAATGCACTCATTAATAATAATACGTGGGACTTGGTGCCCTTTGATAACTCTAAAAATATTGTTGGTTGTAAGTGGATTTATAAAACTAAATATCATTCTGATGGATCCTTAGAGCGCCATAAAGCTCGATTAGTTGCACATGGTTTTAATCAGCAGGCAGGTATTGATTTCTTTGAAACTTTTAGTCCTGTCGTTAAATTCACCACTGTTCGTATTGTACTTACTCTAGCTATTTCTTTTGGGTGGGGTATACGACAACTTGATGTTAAAAATGCCTTCTTACATGGGAATCTGACAGAAGAAGTTTATATGCGGCAGCCCCGTGGTTTTATTCACCCTCACTTTCCTAATCATATATGTCGTCTGCGCAAGGCCATTTATGGCCTTAAGCAAGCTCCACGAGCCTGGTTTCATAGATTTAGTAGCTTTCTTCTACAACATAATTTTTCCTTTAGCAAATCCGACAATTCTTTGTTCATATACCGCCAGAATAATACTATTATTTATTTATTACTATATGTGGATGATATTATTATTACTGGCAATTCTGAATTCTCTGTTACCCAATTTATTTCAATTATATCTAAACATTTTGCTATGAAAGACTTGGGTAATCTCCATTATTTTCTGGGTGTTGAGGCCATTCGTTCAGCTAAAGGTATGTTTCTCTCTCAACATAAATATGTTACTAACCTTCTAGCTCGTTTTCACCTTCATACTGTCAAACCTGTTCGCACCCCGTTAGCTTCCCGTACCACTCTGTCTCTTTCTGATGGTGAGTTATTATCTGATTCTACTGAGTATCGCAGCATGGTTGGTGCATTACAATATTTAACTTTGACACGGCTAGATATTACTTATGCAGTACACTTAGTGTCTCAGTTCATGCATGCTCCTCGTACCGCTCATCTTTTTGCAGTCAAGAGAATTTTCAGATACTTGCAGGGAACACGAGATCATGGAATTTGGCTTCAGCAGTCTAATCGGCCAACCTGTGTAGTTGCTTACTCCGATGCAGATTGGGCAGGTTGTCCTGACAGTTCTCGGTCTACCACAGGTTTTGCTGTATTTTTGGGTCCTAATTTGGTTTCCTGGAAGGCTAAGAAGCAGCCCACTGTGTCCAAGTCCTCCACAGAAGCGGAATATCGTGCCATTGCTTACACAGTACAAGACACACTACATATCCGCTCAGTCCTGTTCGAACTTGGATGGCCTATCTCCGAGCCGGTACATTTATTATGTGATAATATATCTGCTTCTTACTTGACTGCAAATCCAGTTCAGCATGCTCGCAGTAAACATATTCAGATTGATTATCATTTTGTTCGCGAACGGGTTGCTCATGGAGATCTGATTGTTCAACATGTTCCTACTCATCTACAGCTGGCAGATATTTTTACTAAAAGTCTCTCTAGTCGACGTTTTCATTTTTTGAAAGACAACCTGCGCGTTGTATCTCCCGCACAGTTTGAGGGGTGTAATAGAATTCTTAGAGGAATAGAATTATTAGAGGCTCAGTATTGTACTTTACGTTAAACTCTCTCTATTATAAATATATCTGTCAGGGCTCCTCAGGGAGTAACCTTTTCCATTATTTCACAGATTATACCGAGACTTTCAGTCCTGCCATCAAAACCACTACTCTTCGCTTGGTTCTTACTCTTGCCATCGGTCGGGGTTGGTCACTCTGTCAGGTGGATGTTGACAATGCTTTTTTGCAGGGTCACTTATATGATGAAGTTTACATGTCCCAAACATCGGGTTTTGTTGATGAGTTGCATCCCTCCCATGTTTTCCATCTAAGAAAAGCAATTTACAGGCTAAAGCTTGCTCCTCGAGCTTGGTATCATGAATTAAAACATTTTCTTATTCAAATTGGCTTCACGAACTCCAAGACAGACACATCATTGTTCATTCTTCATGGCTCTTCCATCCAGGTTCAATCTCTCATCGACTTACTAGGTGACGTGCACTTTGTCGTGAGGTGCACTCAAAATAATTAATCAATACAACACTAATACGTAGTATAGTGAAGTAAGGTTCGTATCCACAGGGAAAGGAATACTTTTCTTTTATATAAATAGTAACAAGGGGGTTTTAAGTTTGATTTGATTCAATTTAATTAACACTAAGATGAACGACTTATATGAGTTTAATTAATAGAGATGAGGACTTGATTTTGCTTTTATCCACTTAATGAAATGTTCGTCGATCCCGATTATATCTTTAACTATCTTCCTCTCGAATACTCAATCGAGGAGTATATCCAGTTCATCGAGGGTAGTTATTAATAACGAGACGCGTTCATTAATAAAATTTACTACCGAGTCGATATAGAACATGCGTCGTATATTAACACGATAGTAGCAATAAACTTGAGATGAAAACGATTGAGATTAATAACCTCAACACAAGCGGTTTATCGGTTTAATCAATATAATTAATTCCCCTTAGATTATTAACCATGACACCAGGGGCGGACCGTAGTGGAGACCCAGGGGGGCTACCGCCTCCCCCAACAAAAATTTTTTTAGTGTATATATATACGAAAAATAATTTTTGCTCTTCCAAAAAGTATTTTAAATCCCCCCAAAAATATTTTCGCCCCCCCAAAATGACTTTCCTGGGTCCGCCCCTGCATGAGACGCATGCATTAATAATCCAAGTTTACTACCGTTGAAGGAACCGAATTAATAACAAGCGTATTAATTGATTTATTCTAGTAATAATTAATATATGAAACAAAACTAGTTGATCCTTTAAGTAATGCTCAAAATATTAATATGAAATATGAATAAGAATTAATTAATACTCAAGGAAGAATATTAAAGAGTATGAATCCTACTATAGTTAATATCAAGATGTTAACTAATTTTCATCTTAGTAACACTCCCCAATATTAACATAGAGGAAGAAATAACTATTACTATAACTAATGTCAAGATGTTAACTAATTGTCATCTTAGTAACACTCCTCAACATTGATATAGAAATAGTATTTAAAGGAAGAATTAATATTCAAGGAAGAAAATTAAAGAGAATAACTCACAACTTACAAATTCATTAAGCTTCAAAGTATCAAAACCAAGATGGAAGAGTTTAACTCCTCTTTTGGAGACTAAACATGAAGAAAATATAAAGAAAGAGCTTGTCTAAACTGAGCTAAGAAGTATATGTGAATTAGTGATTTTTGTGGGAAGGAAAGAGGGGTATTTATAGGCTTTTGGAGCATGCAGGAGAGTGTACCCGATCGGGCATCAAGGGCACCCGATCGGGTACCTTCAGTGGCTTCCCGGAAGCTCGAAAAGTTGGACATACCCGATCGGGTATGTCGGCCACCCGATCGGGTATGACACTCGAACGTGGTCAAATATTTTCCTGCATGTTGCCTTGTCCTGGATCCGATCCGATTTGATTTTTCAACAAGGTACCCGATCGGGTATAGGTCATACCCGACCGGGTATAGACCAAAAATCAGGATCTTCTATTTTGTCTTGTGATTTTGCACCTTCCTTCCATTTTTGGGGTTTCACCAACGGTCCCTTGAGTGATCATGGACCTGTTTGAGCGCAGAATAAACCTAATCTAAATAATTTACAAGTTTTTTACAAACTAAACTATTACATCAAAAGTGTGTAATTTTCAAAGTAATAATCAATCAAAACTAATTAAAAAACACAGAAATAAATATGGAAATTACATGAATATCACTAGGTCGACGGTTTTCTCTTAAAGATCTTGGCCAACTCTCTTTCTTCCTAGGCATTGAGGGTATTTCTCACCAGTATGGTGTCCTCTCTCAACAACGCTATATCAATGATCTATTGCGTGGCACTAATATGCACCAATCCGGAGGGGTCTCCACTCCACTCCCAACCTCGGCCAAACTTACTATCGCAGCTGGAGCTCTCTTTTTGAGCCTCAAGAATACTGTTCTGTAGTTGGGAGTCTTCAATACTTATCACTTACTCGGTCGTCTCTTTCTTATGCTATTAAACTATGCGTATGGACAGCCTCCTGCGTACGGCAATCCAGGCCAGCAGCAACTCCAACAGCCACAGTCCGGTTGGGGACCAATCAGCTTCATCGGTGGGGACCGGATACAGTTATTTGTAATTCAGTTCAGTCATCATTTTATACTCCGGCTCCCTATACTTCTTCTACTAACTATGCTTCTGCAGGATCTCCATCTTTTGAGAATAGTTTTGGTTCAGTCCCTCCATCTGTTGTGTCTCAGATGTGTCATTCTTCAGGTCATTCAGCTGTTGCATGTCCCTCTCGTGTTGTTCAGGCTCATGCCCCTGCCTTGGCTGTCTCTACAGGTGAATCCACTCCAGCTGTCTGGTATCCTGACTCGGGTGCTTCTGCTCACATGACCTCAAATGAAGGTATTTTGCAAAATAAATCTATTTATTCTGGACCACTAAAAATTACAGTTGCTAATTGCTCTAGTCTTCCTGTTATGACTGTTGGTGAATTGCATTTATCTACTCGGCCCCTACACTTAAAATCTGTTTATCATGTGCCTAATCTTAAATAAAATCTTCTGTCCATTCAACGATTATGTGCCGATAATAACTGTTTTGTGATTTTTGATAAAAATTCTATCTGTATTAAGGACACAATTTCGGGGAAGGTACTCCTCCAAGCTTCCAGTAATGGTGGCGTTTACCCTATTTCTCTCACTCATTCCTCGCTAGTGGCTCTAGTCTCTCATGTTGCTTCTGGCCCAGTCTGGCATCGTCGCTTGGGACACTGTGGAAGTCGTATTTTAGAACAATTAAAAAATCTGGCACTATTTCTAGTATTTCTAGTTTTTCTCATGATTGTATTTCTTGTCGGTTAGGAAAATCTCAACGATTACCTTTTCAAGAAGTGTGGCATAAATCTACTGCTCCTTTATTTTTAATTCATTCTGATGTTTGGCAATCTCTTGTTCTCTCTACAAGTGGCTATAAATATTATGTCTTATTTATTGATGATTTTTCACGATTTACTTGGCTCTATCCCATGCGCCATAAAAGTGAAGTCATAACACATTTTGAGCACTTTAAATTAATGGTGGAAAATTTATTTGACTCCAAAATTAAAATTTTTCAAAGTGATGGAGGGGGTGAATTTGATAATCATGGCATGCGTGATATTTTTACAAAAAATGGTATTTTATTTCGCAAGTCATGTCCAGATACCCCTGAGCAGAATGGTGTTGCTGAGCGCAAACACATACATCTCCTTGAATTAACTCGCACTATGTTTTTTGAAACAAACATGACAGTTAAGTTTTGGGTAGATGATGTGTTCACCGCCACATTTATTATTAACAGGCTTCCTACTCCAAATTTAAATGGCATTTCTCCTTTTGAAAAATTATTTCACCATACTCCTGACTTCTCTTTTATGCGTGTATTTGGGTGTGCATGCTTTCCTAATTTTAATGTCACTTCTGCCAACAAATTTTCTCCCAGATCCACCTTATGTGTCTTCTTAGGATATGCCCCTGAATATAAAGGTTATCGTTGTCTCAATCCTCTCACTAACAAGATTAACATTAATCGGAATGTGCGATTTATTGAAAATTATTTTCCATACTCTACTTTAACTTCTTCCACGGCCATCACTGACGTGTCCGACATTAATACCGTCACCATGCATGAGCACTGTGCTCCCAACCCGCCGGCCGCCACCGTCTCATCCTCCCCTATAACGCTGCGGCAGTCCAACCTTTGCACCCAGCCTACCTTGTTTCAGCCGGTTGCTCCCAACCTCACCTCACCACACACTCCCATCACCCCTACAGCCATCGACAGCCCCGTTCTGACCGATGCACCAAGTTCCTCTCCCACATCATCCCCCTCCACTCATCCGACCAGTCCACATGAGCCTAGCCCAAGCCCAACCCGTTCTTCCCCTGCACCTTCTCTGCCAAATTGTCATCCTATGCAAACTCGTGCTAAATCGGGAATTTTTAAACCCAAACATATTTTTACTCTCAAAACAGATGTTTCGGCATGTGATCCTTCTTGTTTTTCTATGGCAAATAAAGATGCTAAATGGAGGGCGGCTATGACAGAAGAGTTTAATGCTTTAATTGACAATCATACTTGGGATCTAATTCCATTTAATGCTACTAAAAAAGTGGTCGGGTCTAAATGGATTTATAAAACAAAATTTAAGTCTAATGGGTCTGTTAAGCGTTATAAAGCATGCTTGGTTGCACAGGGATTTACTCAACAAGCTGGTGTGGATTTTTCTGAAACCTTTAGTCCTGTTGTTAAACCCACCACTGTTTGTATTGTTTTATCTCTTGCTATCTCGTGTCGGTGGAATATTCGTCAGTTAGATGTCAAAAATGCATTTCTTCATGGCAATCTAACTGAAGAGGTTTATATGCGCCAGCCTCCTGGGTTTGAACATCCACAATTTCATAATCATATTTGTAGGCTCAGGAAGGCAATCTATGGTCTTAAGCAGGCTCCAAGAGCCTGGTTTTACAGGTTTAGTAGTTTCTTGTTAAGCCATGGTTTTGTTTGTAGCAAGTCAGATAATTCTTTATTTATTTATCGCCATGGGTCTCATATTCTCTATCTCCTCTTGTATGTGGATGACATTAATATATTCCCTTCCTTTATTTCCACATTTATCTCTTGTCTTGTTCGTTGTTTTGCCATGAAGGATTTGGGGGATTTACATTTTTTCCTAGGTGTCCAAGCTGTTCGAACCTCCTCAGGTTTGTTCCTGTCTCAACAAAAATATGTGTCTGATCTATTAACTCGGTTTCATCTTCACACCCTTAAACCTGTTCGTACTCCGCTACCTACTCGAACTAAGCTATCTCTCACTGATGGTGATCTTCTCGCAGATCCTACGGAGTACAGAAGTATGGTAGGTGTTTTGCAGTATTTGACCATGACTAACCAGATATTACATTTGTTGTTCACCTGGTTTCTCAGTTTATGCAGGCACCTCGTACTTCACATAGTTTGACTGTTAAGTGTATTTTCAGGTATCTTCAGGGAACTCCGGACCATGGTTTGCTCCTGCAACCGAGCACTTCTTCTCCTATTTTACAGGCGTATTCAGATGCAGACTGGGCTGGCTGTCCTGACATTAGTAGATCCACTTCAGGCTTTGCTATTTTTCTAGGCCCTAATTTAATTTCATGGAAATCCAAGAAGCAACCAACCGTCTCTCGTTCTTCCACAGAAGCAGAATACAGGGCTATTGCTTACACAGTTCAAGACATTCTCCACATCCGGTCTATATTGTTTGAATTAGGCGTACCTATTTTCCAGCCTATTTGGTTATTGTGTGATAATATTTCAGCCTCTTATTTATTCACAAATCCTATTCAGCATGCTCGGAGCAAACACATCAGCATTGATTATTACTTTGTTCGTGAGAGAGTTTCACATGGAGATCTGGTTGTTCGCTATGTTCCCACACAGTTCCAGCTTGCAGACATTTTTACCAAAAGTTTATTTCCGCATCGCTTCATTTTTCTTAGAGACAATCTGTGCATTATTTCCCCTGCACAGCTTGAGGGGGTGTAATAGAGTAATTAATATTCATTAATTAGGTTTCCATATTTCTTATGTTTCCTAATGTACTCAGAACTCTATTTATTATATATATGACATCTAGGCTTCCAATTGGGTAAGTCATTCCATTATTTTCACATTTTTCTTCCTCAAACGAGGGATTTCGACGATCAGTCATGGAATCCAGATGAAGACGAAGCAGGTCACTGTGGTATCGATAAGCCTAACCTTTTCTGTGGCAGCTGAGAGACAATACGAGAAAGTGGATGAGGTTATCTGGCTGACGATGAGCTGACTCGGCAACGACGACTCCCCTCTGCCCAATCCCTAGATTCTGGCCACTGCGATAAACACCACTTTGCTTCTCCGACTACAGCCAAAAGCAAAGTTTCGATAGTGCTGCAGCTCATCAGCGTCAGTTTATCGGTGGCCAAATCGCCGACGGTGAAAGAGCCATCGCCGTACTCCATCCCATACTAACACTTTTTTGTTATTTAGTTTGCAAAGGGACGCGTCATAGGAGACGATATTTTTGCAGAAAGTCTGACCAGACGACAGTAAAAGGAAGTCAAGATCCTGGACTACCTGTAATCGAAAATGGGATGTGTTTGATTGTAGCAGCTCTTGCAAAGCTTGCACTGAAATACAGAATCTAGACTGTGACGTTGGTGTAGGTCAGGATAATCTTTTTCACTACGCCGTCGGACATTGCTCTGAGGACTTTCCATTGTTCCGCCGCCAGCAACGGTGGGAAAAGCTGAAAATCTACGCTGCCAAGCCGCCTTCCTCGCTGGAGTTCCTCACTTGGAAGAAGTTGAAAGAAAATGATGGAGGAAGACACAGGAGAAAGAACAGAAAGAAAGGAAAAACTTTAGAAGAAGAAACATAAAAAAAACAAGAAGAAACCCAGTTCGTATGACATGGAGGAAGAGCAAAGAAGAAGGAGGTGGGGCAGGGGAATAAAGAAGAAGAAGGGTGGGGCAGAGGAAAAATGGGAGACGGAAGGAATCTGAAATGAAAATGAAAAAGAAAATTAAAAGAATTAAAAATTGACACGTGGATCATCACGACATACACGTTTGACTATTTTTCTAATGTTCGTGGGCTTAGTTGAGTGTTTTTTAGTTGGAGGACTTAGTTGACTTTCTTCATATAGTACGAGGACATATTTGACAATTTTTTCTAAACTATCACAGTTTATGCACTGTCCCACCACATCTCAATGGGATGTTGTAAAGCGAGTTCTTCGTTACCTTCGTGATACTCCGACACATGGGCTGCTGCTTCGACGGGGTTCTCCGATTACACTTCATGCTTTTTCTGATGCGGATTGAGCTCGCGATCGTGATGACTTCACCTCTATCGGAGCTTATATTATTTTTATTGGCTCAAATGCTATCGCTTGGCGTTCCGCAAACAACCACCTGTGGCACGCTCTTCCACTGAAGCCGAATACCGATCAGTGGAAGCCACTGCGGAAGAACTTTGTTGGGTTCTATCTCTGCTTACTGAGCTCCGTGTATTCATACCCAAGAAACATGCCATATATTGTGATAACGTTGGAGCTACACACCTCTGTGTTAATCCCGTTTTTCACACTCGCATGAAACCTTTAGCTCTTGATTATCATTTCATTCGGGAAAATGTTCGATGATATGCACTATTTGCTAGTGCATAAATTTCTTGTTTTAGTATTGTTTGATTATTGTTTTAAATTGTTTAGTTTAGTTTATGATGCACTCTCTAGATTTATTTTGTAGGTTGTAATTTGTATTTTTAGTGTATATTTTGTTGTAAGAACCATAAGGGATGCAAGGGAATATTATAGGTACCAAAGGAATGCAAGATGAAATGTGAAAAGAAATTCTGGTATCAAACCCGGTCGGGTTGGAACACAACCCGATCGGGTTGGAAGTGACATATGAAGTCAAGAGGAAGTTACGCGCCGAAACCCGGTCGGGTTGGTACAAAACCCGGTCGGGTTGCGTTGACAAGAACAAAAGAACATGTCGAAGATCAAGAGAAGGTGGAGAATATACGATTTGATACACAACTCGTTCGGGTTTTGACCCAACCCGGTCAGGTTGGATGTGATTTCAACACCTTCCGAACAGTTTAAGGATACCCGGTCGGGTATTCTATATACCCGGTCGGGTATCAGACCCAGCCACCACAAAATACCTAAAAACCATGATCGGGTACTTAAATAAACTCCACTCAGAAGTTTCTAAACACTTTCGGGTGGCCTAGGCCCGGTCGGGCCGCCGGTTCGTATCACATGGGCCGGTCCCGGGCCCATGTGATACGAACCGGCGGCCCGACCGGGCCTAGACCCAGCCCGAATCCACCCCTAGCCAATAATTAATGGATAGTCACCTAAGAGGATATAAGTTGAACTTTGACCTCACTCTGACGAAAAGAGAGTGAGGACTCATCCCAAATCAATGCTTGAACTAGAACTCAAGACCTAGTCCTGGACTCGATTCGGGCCACCCGGCCCGAGAACCAGCTCGGCCCGCTATTGTGCGGGACAAGACCGGCCCGGTTCTTCGGACCCAAAACTGGTCTAAGGCCTGATTATTTAGGCTGAGCGGGGCGGGCTCGGGTTGGTAAAAAGGAGGCCCGACAAGGCCTGGTTCGGGCCAAATTGATTTGTTTTTTTTGTATTTTTTTTCGTTTTTTTGGGCTCCACCCGAGTTGGGCTTGATGTTTAGGAGGGGTTTGGGGTGAGGGTGAGGGGGATCAGGGTTAGGTAGGTAAGCAAAAAAAAATAACCAAGTTTGAGGCCCGGTCAGTCCGGACCGAACCCGATGGCTACCCGGGCCGGTCCCGAGTCCACCTATTCAAAACCGCCACCCACCCAGCCCGGCCCGAATCCACCCCCATCGAGACCTCTATCTTGCGACATCCCCTTCCTATCTGATGAGCCACGAGCCTACGAGCCCCAATTTTCGTACCATTTTCACTAAAAATCTTGTGTACGATGTTGCGATTCTATGAATTCAAAGTATTTTAATAATTGCTTTGACTCTACATAGACTCATAGAGTCATAAAATCATACGACATTCAATTTTACAATTAAAATTGAGATAAGAACAAATTTGATTAAGAACAAATCAAATTTGATTAAATTCGAAAAGAAAAAAACTGAGCTTTTGAAACTATACGGACTTACATTTTCTAGGACATAAAAAAAGAAAACAAGTGGAGGTCAGTTTATCAAGAAAGAGGATGCAGTGATGCACCTCATATTTTGGATTTTTGGGGCGAGTTTAAGTTGAGGTACAATCCCGCAATAAGGAGATGTCTTACAACCCGGATCTATCTATTACCAGTTGGGCGTGTATAAAGGAAAGTAGGGGCTAGGGATAGACTGGGACGGTCGGTCCAACCCGGGAGGCCGGGACCCAGCCCATTACTGTACAGACCCAACCCAGCCCAAGCGGGAGGTACTAGGACCGGGACTGGGGGCCCAAACCGGGTAAGAATGGGGCAGACTACAGGCTCCATAAATATGGACCAGACCAGCCGGTCCGGGACCAGTCCTGGCCCAATTATCTTTTTTAGAAAATTTTGGCATTGGGCTGCAGCTAGGTGGGTGGGGGTGGGGGTAGGAATAAATTCAAAAGGCCATTTAAAAAAAATGACCGACCTGATTCGGGCCCGGAACAAACCTGGGCCGGTACCGGGCCTGCAACCCAAAACCCCAGTCCCGCCCAATCTCGGACCAGGCACGGTCCACCCCTAAGTAGGGCAGGTGGAGTACTATTTGTTTTGGACAATGAAACATAGTTACTTTTTTCCATAGTAAAGCAGCAGCAATGTACTCGATCTACTCTGTAGTATTCTCTTGGGACAAACATAGGAGAATGCCTATTTTACTCAGCAGCAGCAGCAAGAGCAATTTACTAGAGCATGAAACATAACTTTTTTCCATAGTAGAGCATTGATACCGTCAGCAAGTTACGACTTGCAATACATCAACTCCCACATCCTCTCTAGCGCATAAACAAACGTGGAGATTAACTTCGCTACACATATTTACCCCTGTACCTTGGCTTTGAATCCTTACTTCGTTTTGTGTCCCCAGACCCGTTGGTCAGATCTTGAGCAGGGCAAAAAACAGCAGAATGAAGACCGCCCTCTTCAAGCCACTTCACATGGTTCTCTTTGAACTCCAGATGTTTCATCCTCGCCGTCAATTCAACTTCTTCAGTATACGGTCCAATCTTCACCATTGTCAGTAGTATCCGGCTGTATCTAAAGCTTAGTATCTGTTCCGACACAGCAACCAGTTTGAAACACATATGCTCCGGGAAGACAGGGCTGCACGAGGGATCATCTCTCAAGGACGGGTAGAAGTATACCAACCGCCCGCCAATGACCAGCATTCGGGCAGCCAAGTCAAGAAGGTCGTGTACACACTCCACCAAGCTGTAAGGGGCAGTGGAAGGTATGTGATCTGTTCTTTTTTCATCGGGAATAGTGTATGGCCCGATTACTCCTTTAAGAAGCTTCCTTCCACCCGATTTTCGGCCCCCTGCCCGAACTCCATACGGAGGGTCACATATTATGGCATCAAATATCTGCAAATGAACTTCTCAGCTGAGTTTCAAAAAACAGGAACTTGTGATCCCACAAAGGAATGTTATTAAAAGCCTGTATGGTAAGACTTAGTCCCTGTTTGGCAAATGAGCAGTTAGCTGTTAAGATTAGGTGATTAAACTTATCTGTTAGAATTAGCTATGTATGTAGCTTTTTTGAAAGTCACATTTGAAGCTTTTGTAGCTAGTTAGCAGTTTTCAAAAAGATTCAAAAGTGACTTTCAAATATAGCATTTTGAGTTACTTTTAGCTCAATTTATAGGCTGACTAGCATTTAGCAAACAATAAAATTAGCTGTTGACATAGTCAAACAGCTAATTTGAAATGAAGAAAAAACCAAAAGTCCTTCCAAAAAGCTTTCCACCAATCATAGAGCCTTACTGTTGCCGAAGCAGAAGAGAATTTGCTAAAACTGCTCAAGAGTTATGGCTGAATGTGGATGCATTGGGTCTGCTCAATTATCTGAAGTTATATATTTAAAAATATGCATTATTCAAATTATAGAAACTAATATCTAAAAATAAATTTTCATCCAACTCAGCCTGTGTTATAACAATATAGTGTTTGGTGAAAAAACTACTACGTAGTTAATAAGCAAAAAATTAAGATGGTTTCCGGTGGTAGTTTTTGCTGAAATACTTTGTGTATGTTTCTCATCAAATCTAGTTCATACATACCAAATTTCACCAAAAAAAATCAATCGGGAAGGTCGTCAAATAATTTTTGGAAGTTAATTGCGTTTTATATGTATATTCCGGAGCAGTTATCTTTCAAAAATCATTTGACAACCTTCCTGATTGAAATTTTTGCTCAAATTTGGTATGGATGAATTAGACTTGATGAGGAACATAAACTCAAAATTTCAACAAAAAATACCACCGGGAACCACCTTAAATTGAGGTGGCCGGACGAGCCTCCTGTCCGGCCTGGCCAGACAGGAATGTTACTCTCTCTCTCTCTCTCTCTCTCTCTCTCTCTCTCTCTCTCTCTCTCTCTCTCTCTCTCTCTCTCTCTCTCTCTCTCTCTCTCTCTCTCTCTCTCTCTATATATATATATATATATATATATATATATATATATATAATAAATATTTATGTATAAATTCATTTACAGTTTATATTAATATGTTAATTAATTTAGTGCTACTACAAATTGTATTAGTATAATGGAACTTGTGCTATAATTTTTCCAAATGGATGAGGGTTCAAATCCTTTCCAATATTTTTGAATTTTATGTTTTGTTAGCCTCTTCAAAACTTTAAACCAGTTTAAAACGAACTTCAATGGTCTCGTTTAATTTTCTACTTATTCCAACGATTTAACTCGCTTTAGATAATTGAGAATTTCAATTTAATAAATACAACAACAACAATAACATTCAAGCCTTAGTCCCAAAAGAAAGAAAATAAAGATAAAAAGGATAAAAAAGATAAGCTATTATAAAAAGATAATATAAAAAGAGATGAATATACATAAAAATGATAAAATAAAAAGGATACAAATAATGCTTATATATAAGGATAAAAAGCAAGGAAAAAAAGATGAGGGGAAAAGATGATACGAGATCAATCCTCCACATGAATACCCGCCCCGCCCTCCACTTAGCTCTTTCCAAAGTCATGCCCTCATCTAACCCCAGAAGAAGCATATCACTTCGAACTCCCATAACCCACGTCTGTTTGGGTCTTCCTCTCCCTCTCTTCCCTCTACCTCTTCTCCACACATCTTAACTCGTCTGACAGGTGCATCACTCGGTCTTCTACGCACATGACCAAACCACCGTAGGCGCGACTCCCACATCTTGTCTTCAATAGGTGCTACTCCTACCCTTTGTCTGATTGTCTCATTACTCACGCGGTCCTTCCTAGTATGCTCACACATCCAACGCAGCATGCGCATCTCTGTCACACTCATCTTTTGAATGTGACAATGTTTCACCGCCCAACACTCTACGCCATACAGTAATGCAGGCCTAATTGTTGTCCTATAAAATTTACCCTTCAGTCTAGATGGCATACCTCGATCGCATAGAAATCCTGACGCACTCTTCCACTTCATCCACCTTGTTCTGATTCTATGGGATACATCACCATCTAACTCACTGTCCTTCTGAATTATGGAGCCCAAGTAACGAAACATATCGCTGACTGGTATCTCCTTACCATCGAGCGTAATTCAGCTATTACCACAGCTTCTACCTCCACCAAACTTGAACTCCATGTACTCTGTCTTGCTCCGACTTAGTTTGAAACCCTTATTCTCCAATGTTTGTCGCCATACTTCCAACTTAGATTTAAGACCTGATTGCGTCTCATCAATCAATACAATATCATCGGCAAACATCATGCACCACGGTATATCATCTTGAATTGACTTCGTAAGTTCATCCATAACTATGTCAAATAAGAAAGGGCTCAGAGCCGATCCTTGGTGCACTCCGATAGTAATAGGGAACTCTTCAGTCCTCCCTACACTAGTACAAACACTTGTTGTACAATCCTCATACATATCCATGATGATGCTGATATACTTGCGTGATATGCCTTTCCTAGTTAAGGCCCACCAAAGAACTTCCCGAGGTACCCTATCATATGCCTTTTCTAAGTCAATGAACACCAAATGCAGATCCTTATGAGTGTCTCTATACTTCTCCATAAGTTGCCGAAGAAAGTGAACGGCCTCAGTTGTTGAACGACCAGGCATAAAACCGAATTGATTCTCTGAAATCTTCACAGTTCTTCGAAGTCTTTGCTCAATCACTCGCTCCCAAAGTTTCATGGTGCGACTCATAAGCTTAATCCCTCGATAGTTGGTACATTCTTGTACATCACCTTTATTCTTAAATAATGGGATAAGAGTACTCTTCCTCCAACTCATTGGCATCTTGTTGTTTCTCCAAATCATGTTGAAGAAACTTGTTAACCACTCGACGCCTCTCTCTCCCAAACTTCTCCAAACCTCGATCGGTATGCCATCTGGGCCCACTGCTTTCTTCCGTCCCATCTTCCTCAGAGCTTCTATAACTTCCGTTGTTTGGATCCTTCTCACAAAATGACGATTCACCATACAATCTGGTATGGACAAATCATTGATATCTTACGTTTTGTTCCCGTTGAATAATGTATCAAAGTATGACATCCGCCTCTCTTTTATCTCTATGTCGTCCATTAATATCCTCTGGTCGACATCCTTCACACACTTAACTTTTGCAATATCTTAGAGTCCTGCGATCACGAAGACGAGTAAGTCTATAAATATCTAGTTCTCCTTCCTTACAGTCCAACTTTTCATACAACTCCTTGTTCACTTTCCCTTGTGCTTCCCTTACGGCTTTCTTTGCTTGTCTTTTAGCCTCCTTGTATGCTTCTATGTTCTCATCACTCCAACTTGTCCTCAACTTTTTGTAGCAATCTCTTTTGTTCCTTATGGCTTGTTTCACCTCATCATTCCACCAAGACGTGTCCTTTTTAGGTGGCAGACATCTTTTAGATTCTCCAAGTACCTCCTTTGACACTTTGTTAATGGTCAACTCCATTGATAACCACACATCATCCACATGTGTTTCATTATCAATACGCCATACATCTTCACCGACCATTTTGTGTGTAAAGCTTTGTTGAAGATCTCCCTCAAGCCTCCACCACTTTATCTTTGGCTCCACTTGTTGTTTAACTTGTCTTCTATGGTTCTTACCTCGAAAGTCAAGCACAAACATCCTATGCTGAGTGACAACACTCTCACCTGGAATAACCTTACAATCAGTGTAGCTAGTTCTCCAAGTGGTCCGTACTAAAAAGTAGTCAAGGTAAGCAAACAGTAAGGTACTGGGAAGGAAGAGGCATGAGGATGAAGCTGGATGAACAACTGATCTGAACTTCACATGAAGTGAATAAGAGTGAAACTAAATTTTGAACACCACCAGGTTCTTCCACATTCCAAACTTGGAAACCATATCGACAGCATAAAAGCAAGACTTGGCAGTTTGTACCTCCCTCAACATTACTGGCAAGTGTCCTTCCTTTCAATCCTTCCGCCCCATATTGAGGTTTGTACATACATCCTCCTTTTTCAATCCATCCCCTCTTGTCTTCATCTTTGTATTTTCCTCTTCTTATCAAAGAGCTAATAGCTCGTGTAGGATCCTGCGGAACCTCAACCACCACATACTCCGCATTCTCCAGCTTTGCTAAAGCCATCTATACGGACAGTCCCCGTAGAGCTTTCCAAAGTATTTGGACCAGCAATTTTATCAATCGAGGATACATATTCCATAACAATCGAGGATTGAGTCACCACAGAAAATTTCTCCTCTCGTCCTTCATCACCATCAATGCACCTATCTTCGGAGATAGATTGTAGCTGATTATTGAATTCCAAACTGAGCTGTGAAGATTGTGAAGTGAGAGAATCTGTTGGCGATTTCTCTTGGCTTTCTTTGTTGCCCTCATTGAACTTCTCTGCATTTTCTCTAGATCGCGAAGCACTCCTATCATCACAGGAAGGTTGCCGTCCACTAACAAACTCCTGTGGGACTGATGAAACCTGCGCATAGTGAGAAGTGTTTTGCGACAAAACTTGCGAAGAGAACTGCGAACTGAGATAAGCCGCGCCTTGAGCTCTGCGAACTGGTAGACCCTGTTCGTGACTTCATTTGCGAAGAAGCCAGATAACTCGAAGGAAGTGCTCATGACTGAGAAGAGACATGCGCTCGCGAAGATGTCGGCGAACTACGCGAAGCAGTTCGCGATTGCGAAGAAGAAAATCGAGATTGCGAACTGTGAGAAGTCGCTTGCGACGGAACCTGCGCACTTCGCGATGCACTGGGAGACTTAGTTCGTATCTGCGAGAAACCGGACAATGCGATGATCGCGAATGCTGATGATGCTGTGATCGTGATCTTCCTCTGTATCGAAGTTGTTCGCTCATCGCGGCTATGGATGCCGCCATGTTTGCCGCCCGGTTCTTCACTTCTGCTTTCATCTCCTCCATAATTCGTTACATATTGTCAAAACTCTTTTCCATTCGAGGCATCATATAGACTTCCTCCATCGTTCCAGACTGTTGTTGATCTGGGAAGATTGATGATTCTGATTCCCTGCCTCCGGGAAGTGAATGCTCTGATACCATTGATAAGAACCTCAACAGAAATTTACGATTTATTGATTATGAAGTCTGGTCGATTACAACTGAACAGGAAAGAACGGAAAGAAAGAGAAGAAATCAAAACGAGACACTTCGAGCAGTCCCCTCTCCCAAGTCCCAAGCCCAATTCAAATTTCTACCCACCTCCTTCCTTTTCTATTCCCTCTATTTATTCTTTACCAAATGAGGCTTTCCTCAATCTATCTAATTACTAGGCCCAGCCCACTATTACATTTTATTAAAATATTAAAAAAAGTTTTTCCATCATTTGCAATGGAGCCAAAGACTCATTATTTTTTGGCTTGAGATTATGATGGAATAAAGCAAAATGGCTCACTAAACTGTCTGCGCTTCTTTGTTATGAAGCAGCAGTCAGTCCATGCAATTTTGGACAGGATTTTCACTATGGATCATCCGGAAACAATCTCTCTGTGCTTTAGTAAAGGGCTAAGACTGCGTACATCCGACCCCCCCTTACCCCACCGCAGGTGGGAGCCTTTGCGGCACCGGGGTAAATGAAAATGATGAAATGATGATTAAGCCCAAAAGTTCAGGTCTCTATCAGTTTTGAATGGCAAGTAAAATCAAACGATCCTATGGACACGATGCTAATTAAAAATGGTTTTAAGGACCTTGAAATAGAGTAAATATGAAAAAGGAGGAAAGGTTTCAAGTATAGGAAAAACGTGTAATGATCACTCTCTACACAAATGTAGCATTAAGCTCCACCAGAAATCTGAATCAGCCTCCCACTTACAATCAAAGAAAAAAATACAGTAAAAAAAGCGAGTAAAATAGCTACAATTGTGCAATTGGATATAGAAAAAGCTACCTCTTGCAAACCTAGGCGCCAAGGAGGAAGGCCGTTGTCCGCCCTTATTAAAGAAATGGGCTGTTGCAATCCATACTGCATTCATAATAAATTTATCAGAATTAAGCATATAATAGTAATGAGAATGGAAGAATTTTCTGTATTTCATTGGAGGGTTAAGGCCCTATATATTACAAAGATAAAATATTCCTATATAAGATGCTATACAATAATAATGGCTAGAGTATATTCCTAAAGCATATTCTGAGATACAATAATTCTCACACACTCCCCCCAAGTTGGAGCATATATATTTATCATGCTCAACTTGTTACGTAAATAATCGACTCAAATCCCATTTAGAACTTTAGTGAATAAATCTCAAAGTTGTTATCCGGTCTTCACATATCCGGTAGAGATCAATCCATTTTGTATCTTCTCTCGAACAAAATGGTAATCAACCTCACTATGCTTTGTTCTCTCACGAAATATGGTAAACAACTAGGTTATCGCACCACAACTTAGCAGACATTGGTCTCTTCAATCTGACTTCATTCAGTAAATGGTGTATCCATATTTATCTCACATGGGGATTGTGGCATAGCTCGATATTCCGATTCACTACTAGAACGAGAAAACACTCTACTTCTTACTTTTCCAGAACCAATATACCACCCACAAAGACGCAATATTCGAATGTAGATTTTCTATCATCTTTAGATGAAATCCAATCAAGATCTGCAAAGCATTCTATTCTCATGTGATCATAGTTCTGATAAAGAATTCCTTGTCCCGGAGTTTCCTCCAAATAACATAATATATGATATACAATAGTCCAATGATCAACAATCAAAGATGACATATATTGACTCACTACCATCACTGGGTAAGCAATATTTGAACGGGTAATTGTGAGATGATTAAGTTTTTCCAACAATCTTCTATATCTTTCTAGATCTTCGAATGACATGCCTTCGTGAGTAAGTTGCACATTGGGAATCATGAAAGTATTGCTTGGTGTTGCCTATAATTTCCCTATTTCAGCTAGCAAGTCAAGTAAATATTTACATTGAGATGGAAATATGCTTTTTTACTCTGTGTTATCTCTATATCCGAGAAGTATTTCAAAGAGTCAAGATCGTTTGTTTGAAATTGGCTATGAATGAAAGTCTTAAGGGATAAAATATCAGAGCCACGCAATCACAATATCATCAACATACACCACAAGTAACGTAATACCTGCTTTGGTTTGTTTATAAAAGACAGAGTGATCTGATTGGCCTTTTACCATTCCAAATTGCTCAATTGATTGACTCAACTTCTCAAACCATGCATGTGGACTCTGTTTCAAGCCATAAAGAGACTTGTGAAGTCAGTAAACTCTTTCATACCATTTCAAATAGCAATGAATCTTGAAGGTTGCTCGATATACACTTTCTCTTGGAAATCATCGTGGAGGAATGCATTTTTAATGTCGAGTCGATATAAGTGCCACCCATGAGTTGCGGTAAGCGAAATAAGTAGCCTGATAGATGTTAACTTAACAATAGGGGGAAAGCATCAAAATAATCAATAGGTTTGGGCATAACCCTTAGCGGCTAATCGAGCTTTTAATTGAGCAACTGAGCCGGCTGGATTAACCTTAACAACAAAGAATCACTTACATCCAATAGACTTCTTCCCTATAGGTAAGTCTACCAAATCCCAAGTACTATTAAAATCCAAAGCATTAATATCCTGTACCGAGAAAGAGTAAATAGAAGCCATTTAAGAGCACGAGAAAGGGGTTAGATGGTCATATGATACAAAAGAAGAAATGGGATAAGTACAAGACCGTGTACCTTTACGTAGAGTTATCGATAGATCAAGGTCGGAGCTGAATCTGAAGACGATGGTATGACTTCAAGACATGATATCGAGGTCAGTTCAGGATAAGAAGTCACTCATTGATGCTTTGTGTCGACGAGTTTAAACCAAATGTATTGGAGGCTCAGGATCAAAAACATGAACATGTGGTATTGCTGATGAAGAATGTGTGGACTTAACTGTGTAAATGAGTATATCATCGTTTTCCTTGAGCATATTTGTTGTGGGTGATGTAAAAGGTGTATTTTCATGAAATGATGCATCAATGGAAACAAGATAACGACCTTTAGTTGGACAAAAATATGTGTACTCCTTCTGAACTCAGGAATAGCCTGAGAAAATACATTTTAGTGACTTAGAATCTAATTTTATTAGATGAGAATTAACAACTCGGAAAAAACAAGTACAACAAAGTATTTTAGGTGGGATAGGGAAAAGATCTTTCTGTGGAAACAGGCACTAATATGGAGTTTTATTGTGCAAAACAGAAGATGGCATACGATTGATCAAAAAAATATGCACTAGACAGAGCATCAACCCAAAATTGTTTGGGCATATGCATTTGGAAGAGAAGAGCTCGAGCAGTTTCCTATAAATGATGATTCTTTCATTCAGCAATCCCATTTTAGGAGGTATGTCTACACATGAAGTTTGATGAATTATGCCATGTACGATGATGTTTTGTGAAGTAACACAAATCACTTCACAAATGACACCTTATTAAATTGAGGATGGATTTTCTTCAATAATAGGGGAGGTGGATGTCTTAGTCAATAGTGAGCTTCCAACACCGTTCTAATCCCAGGACAAGAGATAGCTTGTGTGTGATTTTACTAATAGAAGTCAAATTAAATGCAAAATTGAGAAGACTCAAGACGGGAGATAACAGTAAAGGTCAGGACAATGGTACCCATCTAAGGATTGGTGAGGTAGACCTGTCAGCTAAAGTGACACTAGAAGTATGTAAAGGCATGTGAAATGAGGAAAAAGATTCGGATTACCTATCATATGATATGTGGCACCTGAGTCAATGACCCCATTTTAAGGATGAGGAAACGAGACATGTGTTTGGACTACCTCAATTAGCGTCAGCCGAGATAGGGGTAGATGAATGCTTTAGAGACTCTTGTTAGCAAAGAAATTTGGCATATTCTTCCGAAGACATAGTCATTGATCCATCAGATGAAGCGGAAGCAATGTTAGCAACTTTGATTTTCTTGATTTTTTAATTTCAATTTTCTACATTCTTTGATCAAATGTCGAGGTTTCTTACCGTAGTTGCATACTACTCCTTTACCCATTGGGTCAGCACGTGACAATTTCCCACCTCATTTGAGGAATGTTGGAACATGCCCTATAAATGCATTATTTGTTGTGGTGTTGATGATGTGGATGAGGTGTCAGTGTGATTTCACACTCTACTGAATGCATCTTGAAGAGAGGAGACCTGCCCAAAAACTCATGACTGCCATTTGTTCTCGTTTTTTCTGTTGTACTTTAATGTCTGGACTAAATGGCATTAATGTATTAAGCTCTTCACATGTTTTCTTGAAATCCATAAGTAAGCCATAAGGGGTTTATCTTTCATCTCTGCTCTATAAAAGGCTTTGCACACCTCGTAGATATGGTTAAGGTTACCTTTGCCAGAATACATAAATTCCAAATTATCAAACAACTCTTTCACTATATCACAATGACTAACATACCCATAACCTCATTTTCCTTTGAGTTCTGGATCTAGATAAAAAAAACTAGAATCATCCCAGAGCAGTTTATTCTCAGTAATTTTAAAGTTAATGGGAATAACTTCAAATACTACCAAAAGTCGATTATGTAATACCGCAAAGGTGTCCATGTCGGGATGTGAGCCAAGCATTTTTTTGTTTTTTATGAGCCTGCAATTAAGTTCAGAATTGAGATATTCAGTAAAAACTTACAAACGCATTTCCTGTTTGTGGACTCAAACTTTGGATAATAAAATATCCAATCTGTTTGGGCATTGACTGCGACTCCAGATATAATTCTGATGCCAGATCCTAACGAATAACAACCAGGCAAAAGAGCGTATGTCAATAGATATCTGATGCCGAACCCCAGACTTCCTCCCAGATTTCGTCCCTTGCTAGAGAAAGAATGAGAGAGAAGCATACGGCATACCTAGTGGAAGAGGACTAAGAGGCGAGTACTACAACAACAACAACATTACCCCAATGTCGTACAGTCTTACCCATGTCAAAAATTATATGGACTGACTGCTTCTTCATAACAGGCGAGTGTGTTGAAGAATTTCGATCAAAACTCCGACCATAAAAGAGGTGTCATGCGCTGGCACGTGCGGCGTTTGCGAGTACCTGTGAAGCCGCATGTGGCTTAAGGGTGTCGATTTAGAAGTGTGGGCTTTGAACACTTGGTCACTGATGGCTGGTGCACCAGATTATGATAGAGGAGAGATGAGTGATTGTCAGAAATTCACCACGAAGATGGCCGAACCTGGCAGAGATGGGGGTAGTTGGACTGGACTGAGGTTCTGAATAGAGGGTGTGCAGAGATTCTGTCCAGGAGTGAGTTTCTTTGAGACAGAATGGTGCCTAGAGGTTCTGATGAGTCTGAACTGAAATCAGGTTCATGCAAACCTAGGCACCAAGAAGGAAGGCCATTAGACGCCTCATTAAACAAATCAGCTCTCGCAATCCATACTACATTCATAATAAAGATCAAAATACCTATAAAGATCTCAAAGCGCACATTGACAACAAAACCCAAAATTTATCACCTTATTAGGTCCAATTTATCATATATAAAATGAACCACGTGCACCATCATCGTTTACATAAAGATGTCTAATAAAGGCTTGGTTTTGGTATGGTCTAGACAACAACTTGCAGTCCTTGTAATCTTAAGAAAAATGTATGGTTTAAGCATAACAACCTGTATGAAATTGCTCCAAACATTGCAATCTGGACCTCGGCCATCACGCACTACTCGGATATCTATATCCGCACCCTGAAAAGAATGGTAAAAATAGTGTTCTTTTGAAAGGATATTGGGTCAATTTGGATATCGGAAAATACTTGGGTAAAACTGTTGAAAATAGGACGTAAAATTGAAATAAAAGAAAGTTTGAGGGAAAAGTAAAGATACACTAATATGCTCCAAGTTTCAAACTCAATAAATTTACATTAGATATTAGTTCAAGCAGATTATATTTATTTATTTATTTCAAGTAGACAATTATTTTCCATCATTTGCAATGAAGACAAAGACTCACTATTTTTTGGCTTTGGAATATGATGGAATAAAGCAAATGGCTCACTAAACTGTCTGCGCTTCTTTGTTATGAAGCAACAGTCAACCTATGCAATTTTTTATGCGATTTTCATGTTGGGTCATCCGGAAACAGTCTCTTTGTACTTTAGTACAAGGGTAGGGGAAAGGCTGCGTACATCCGACCCCCCTTACCCCACCGTAGGGTTAATGATGATGATAATGATTTCAAGTAGACCAATACTAATAAATGTATATGTAGTATGTATAAAAAACTAATCTTGTTTTATTTTTCTTAGAAATTTTCAAGATAAGGGAGAGAGTGCGAAATTATTTTTCCGTACCATTTTTTCCTTTCTTAAGCCTATTACAAACCCGAAGATAAGGGAATAAGATATAGAGGAAATTAGGGAGGAAACCATATTTAGAGGAACCTTACAAAGCTCAACATATTTTTGTTTTAGACATTTCCCAAGAATTGTTTTATTTGCATATTTTTAGTATTCAAAGACAAATAAATCTAAATATATGCAACTTTTATTTTCTTAATCAAATTTGATTAAAAAATTAAGAGGTTTTTCTAAATATTACTCTTTTCGTCCCTTAAACTTTGACATGTTTGAAACTTTGACCAACTATACCTTCATTGGAAATTACTGATAATATAAAAATGATACGAAAAATGTTCCTAGTTAAAAAGTACTTTCATAAAATGATAAAAGTACAAAATTTATGACTTCCATGATATTATACTAATCAAAATCATGATCCAAACTTTATGAGATAAAAGTGATCAAAGTTTTAAAGGAGAAAGGTAGTACTAGAATAACACTTGTGCACAAAAATGTGATCAAAGTGATTATTAATACACTTTTATAGTCACTTTGATGTAAAATTTGAATATAATTGTAACTAAGTCATTAAGTCACATTTTTGTCCAATATCCTCATTTTTGTTCAAATTTAAAATCAAACAATAAAAAACATGTATTCTAGTATTTTGTTTCCTTTCCTGGGATCCAAACATACCCATAAGGTTCCAGTAAATATGGAAAAAATAAAACTGACCATTGTCATTGCCTTATAATGAGCAGCAGCAACTAAAATGCTTCCTGTGCCAACAAATGGATCATAGACTAGTTTCCCAGGATCTGCCTGGGCTTGGTTGGCCATCAGGAATGCCATCTCAGCATCCATGGCTGTGGGTCCCAGATAATTGCGACTTTTCAACTGATAAGTGGGCAAGAGTTTCCTATCAGCAGCACCAACCTCCCGACCAAAAAACACCATCCTATGAAGAGTCGGGGGGAGTCCATTATTAGACCCATCGTTATCATTTTCAATTAGGCAGAACTTGTGGTCTGGATTTTTTAAATTTACCCGTCCCTAGAAAAAATAGAAACAGCAAGCCTAGTATAAACACATCAGAGGGGGTGCAATAATGGTGCAATGGGAAATATTAGTTTGCACATAGTTTGGAAAGGGACGACTACAGAGGAATTGACCTTGAAAGGAATGTATGAGAGTGCTCGAATACGATCATTTTGTTCCTGAAAGCTGATGGCTTTCCCAAAGCTGTCAACAGAAATCTTGAATGTGGTATTACTTGTCAGGTATGGTAACTTCCGCTCATCAGGGTAACTCTTTATAGCATCTTCCAACTCCTCGTAGTTACTACCTTCTCCCCAAAGTTCATACATTCCCTTTACAAGAATGCCTGCACAGTGAAAGGTGTTGAAATGACAAAACCAAATCATAAATCTGGATGAACAACTGAAATCAAGAAACTACACAGAGCAGAGATATTTGGAAATACAACCAAAACACGCAATTAAAATCAACAGATTTCGAACTTTGCTCGACCATGCTATAATTGTACTCTTCAAGTGAGATTCACTCATCAAGTCTATCTGTACAGCAGAAAAGTGAAGAGTTTGTGTGAGAAATGCATACTTCGATTTGCGACATTCCGAGCAATCTCTTCTGAGGGGAGGAACACGAAATGGAAGGGGGAATCCGGGTGGTAGTGCTCAGGAAGTCTCCACTCGATGTTTCGCGGCTCGGAGTTGAATGCTCCAAAGAGCTCGGCCAACGATTCGACCTCGGGTTTTCGGAAGTCCAATAATCTGTGATAAAACACGCACAGGTACCACATCCCCCTTCCTCCTCTTCTTCCACTTAAACCTATATATATCACTAGAGTTCAGCTTCAAAGATTATGCTGAGTTACAAAATCAGTCACAAATGGAGTGGTGGCGGAGCGCAGAGACTTTAACGGACCCAAATTACTCCCTCCTCCCTTCAAACAAGATTGACCAAGTGACCAACGCATACCTTGCTATATATATGCGAAAAGTAAAGAGAAAAATGGGTCTACTTTCCGGCCCAAAAACACGGTCACAGATACCGACTTAATTTTTTCGTTCTTTAACTCTTGCAACATTGTGATTTTTGCATTAATCACAAACCTTACTTTGACCACAATCTTTTACTAATATACATAATCAAATTATTACGTATAAGATGTTATTAAATTCCTATCAATTTGAAATTCCAAAATATCAAATTTTTATAATGTTTACTTATACATAATTAAATATAATTACAATCAAAGTTGTGCGTTGGCAAACGTGAAAGTCAAACTGTTGCAACAATTAAAGAACGGAGGATAGTATATTGTGGGATGGGACAACTTGCGGGTGTGTACCCGGCCCATTTAAGATGAGTCGGTCTAGGGTGCAAACGAGCCGAGCCCGAGTTTATGCAGGCTCGAGTTCAAACTCGAAATATATTGTATTGGCTCGAGCTCGAGCTCGGCTCGAACGAGTTTAAAAAAATCGGGCTCGAGCTCGACTCGCGAATATTGACATGGCTCGATTCGGCTCAATAATTTTGGTTCGTCAACTCAAATGCTACAAGTTCAATTAGCTCGAAAGTTCGGGTTCGAACTCGAGCTCAAGTATGAAACAATCTTTGAATATTTGTGCTTAGTATTTGCAAATTGAAATTTAGATGCCCAACAACTAAAAGTAGAGTAAATGTTGTCCAAAATAAATAAAAAATGATCAAACCATGATGATTTAACTGAAACTAGAGTTACGGGAACGGAAAATATAATATCTCCCTGATCCTCATATACATTTACCAATCGATATTTTATATATATATATATATATATATATATATATATATATATATATATTAATTTATATTATAAATATTATATATACTAATATATAGTATATATTAATTTATATTAATATTATATATTTCTATATTAAATATATAAATATACATGCATATAAAACTAGGCTCGCGAGCCGGCTCGCGAGCCTAAAATTTGTATGCTCGTTTATGGCTCGACTACTTAACGAGCCAGCTCGAGCTCGGCTCGAGCTCGAGTTTGACCGAACTCGATCCGAGCTTTGACCGAGCAGCTAACGAGCGGCTCAAGAGCGGCTCGGCTCATTTGCACCCCTAAGTCGGTCTGGTCCGGGTATTTTGTTGAATTATTTGTAAAATACATTTTTTAAGCTAATCTTGAATAATTTCTTGGTAAACATAACAATAACAAAGTCAACTATACGAGTAAAATAAAATAAAATTGACTAGTGATTTTAGGAATGATCTTTGTTGGATGCCTTTTCCAACAAAGGCACCTTTTCCGTCTTACCGAGCTAAATTTCACATCCGGTATAATAATGGTAAGGGAAATTATCATTGATCTCCCTTGAAATTTGATGCATTATCAATCACGCCCTTATACTATCAAAAATATGCTCTTACCCCCTCCATATCCTTTAATGATGGTTAAATACTTTTAATTTATATTTAGAGAAAATTATAAATATAATTCCATAATTCTTCGTTATGTCCGCTTTTAATACTGTAATTTTATTTAATCACAAATCTGATCGGGTAATTAATAAATTTGTCTATACTAAAGACATTTTTATCAGAAGTCGAACAAAATAAAAAACTGACCAAAATGGACCTTACTCTCTAAGTAGTTCGTTTTATTCTTTTGAATTTGTAAAGTGAGTAATTTACTCAATTGAAAATGATCAAAATATACTAAATTTGTCAAAAATCGAAACAAATCAACTTAAATGAACCAAACCGACTCAAAACTGAAGTTTACTACTCGATTTTACCATTAAAAATTGAATGCAAGAAAATTCCCAATTCGCACTCTAGACGCTCTTTGTTATCACTAGAAATGAGATCATATAGGTATAATAATAACTTGTAAATTAATATTTTACAAAATATGAACATGTTTACATGTAAATTAATGGTAAAGACATTATAGTTTAAGACGGATTCGACACCCAAACTGGTTAGTGCTAAATAATTAGAGCGGCCCATGACCTTATCTTCGGTTCCAATCTCCTAATTGGTCTAGGTTCGGTCCCAATCATTTAAATAGTTTTAACTACCTATTTTTCAACTTTTAAATGGACTATAACCCATTTTAAAATGTTTCCAATGGTTTTAATGAAACTAAATTAAACGGGGTTAAAACATGGGCTCCAAACCCGGTCCCAAAAAGTGAGACCTGAGGCCTCTTTTTCACCGGTCTGGTCTCGGTCCCGGTCTAAAATTTTAATTCAAAAATTGGTCATTCCCGAGACCGGGCCTTGTCCTCCCCTAATATGAACCACAAAAGTAAGTATTTCACATGCAAGTTTACAATAGGTAACAATAGTATCCTAAAAGTCTTTCACCAACATCTGTTTTAGGTATGAAATAACATTCCTCGTTATTGGGTGTTTTTCCCTCGTTAGAAAAGTTTCACCAAGATTTCTACAATCTAAGATATATTTTCGAACTTTTGAAAGTAACAGAGATTTAGAGCCCGTATGGTGACTCTGCTTTTCGGTTTATCAGGCTTATGAGCAAACTTTTTAACCAAACATGTAATTTTTGCTTTCGTGCGCTGAACTACGTAAAAATAAGAAAAAGTAAAGTTAGAGTTACTTTTATGGCTGTATTAGCTGAAGTTACTATAGATGACAATTTTAGCTATTTTCATATAATTTTTTCTTTATATTATTAATAAAATATATTTTAAATATAACTTTTTCATAAATAAGCATAATTAGCCAATGCAGACATTTCAGCCAGAACTTTATAAATTTCAGTAGAATAAGCCGATTCAACCGATTTCAGTGTTACCAAATGAGCCCTTATTGTTTTAAGCTTGTACATTTTGATTGTGTCTGCTATTAGTCCTATAGTTATACTCACATGTAGATGTATTTATGTACCAAATAAATTTGTCAATAATAAGGGCTATTTCATCGGAAAGTACATGTTCCATAAAAAAGTACTTTCTGGTGGAAAGATTCTTAATACAGATAAATTTATTAATTATTAAATTAAATCTGCAAGTGAGTAAATTTATAAAACTAAATTTATACTTTTTCTAAACGTAATTAAGAGTTATTAAACTTCCATTAAAGGATAGGAAAGGGGGTAATCATATATTTTTAATAGTGCAGGGGCCTAAGTGATAATACGTGAAACCTCGAGAGAGAGAGATCTCGAGATCAATGATAATTTCTCTAATTGCTCATGGATATTTGAATTACTATAATCTATTTTGGGCATGTGAGCCCATGTTTTGGCCGGTTGTGGCACATGCTTTACCGTTGAACATTTCCGCTATTCATTGGTTGAATGTGATGTTGTTATGTATGTTTACTACTGAGTGTGGATGGATTATGTTCATGGACGCCTTGTATGATTAAGTCACGTTGACTTGCGAGTGACATCACTTGGTCATACGGCGGTTGTACACGCGCTTAGATGCGGTCTGGGACGTGACAAAATCAATGAGAGAACATGTTCCTATGGCTTAGTAAACCCAACTAAGCCTACCCAAGGGACAAAGCCGAGAGTAAGTGAGTGAGTGAGTGAGTGATCATTATGAGCGTTAGGAAGCAGAAGGGTCAAGTGAGCAAGAAAACAATAATCAATGATAAGTCTGCTACCTCAACTGCCTACTATCCTTTGAACATTTACTCCTGGCCACTCAAATACTCTGGACAATCCCAATAGGTTGAGGACTGAATTTATTCAGATCCCGGGTAGAAGTCACTGCATATTGTCCAACAGTGCATGTTGAACCCTACCCAAGACCACTCACTTGTCTCCCAACAGACATGTGTTTAATCATATTTCACGGGGAACCGCATCTCTCATTACTGTCTCCTTCCGAGGCAAGTGATACTGACTACAGTGGCCTCAGGCCCATGCCACTGAACTTTCATTGATCACGTCGTGTCTAGTTACTCACTCCTAGTGTCAGTTGCAGGTTTTCATGATATGCGAGAACTTCTATAGGGCTCATGCATCTATTACAGATGTAGACCAACGATTGGAAGGAAGTCTTGTTGTTGCAACATAAGAATCACCAACATTTTCAGGCCATTGCTTTAGAGTTTATCTCTATAGTGATAATAACGAGTGTCTACATGACCTCGGGGGGCTACAAGTTCTTAATGCTAATCTTTATGATTTTGCCATTACAACCAGAGTGACATCTATTCAGATGTTTCACAATGACTGGTTCGAAGTCCTGTTAGAGCTTAATAATTTTTCTATCATTATATACAGGCCACACATCGATGTTTACATTGATGTTGTGTTAACGGAACACATCAATGTATCCGGTTTTTGCATTTCAACATTGTGCTTGTTTTTCCTATTTTATTTCCGCAGAACAAAAGAATAAAGGCATGACGCCCCAAGTCATCGGATCGTCATGAGGGGGAGAGTGGTCCACATGCTGTTAACTATCAACGAATCATTCTGGGACACTTCTCTCCTCCAACACTCTCTCTACTATCTCCGCAACTCAAATGGTCAGCTACGCTCACAAGTCAACCATCATTATGTTCCGCTGTGCCACCGACAAGTTCTCCTCAAATGCATTCATTCCAAATAGTCAAAAAGACTACATTGTGGAGGAGACAGAGGTCAAATACTCGTATACTGAAGATGAATCATGTGCGCCCCTGATAATCATCAGAACAATCCTTCTAGAGGCGTCACCGGACTTCATCCAAGCTGATCAAGAGTAACTTCTGGAAGGCAATGATTACAAGAAAAGGATTCATCAAACCCCGACATCAAAGATCAAACTGTCAAGAAAACATCAAAGGGGAGATTGCGAGGATTTCTTCATAAAGCCTTCTCAAGAAGTCAAGTTCAAAGACAAAGGAAGCTCAATAACAATAAAGACAAAGATATCTGCACTGCAATGCTGATTCAACACGATTGAACACCAAGGGGGAGATTGTTAG